CATGACTGTCCGTGTTATGTTATGTGTTGTGTTTATTATTTTACTTTAAGTTTACTGTTTTGTTAAGCGCTTTGCTACAGCTGCAGCTGTTGTGAAAGCACTATATAAATCAGGATGTATAGTGTACTATAGTTCAGAGCCTCCTGAGACATGCAATGACTGTTCGTAAACCAAAAATAGTGTGAAATCAGAGGAAATTTTGCGTTTGAACTGAATTTTTCATAAATGTGGCGGTAAACTGAGGTTCTACTTTACATGTAATTTCAGGAAACGTCTACCGTAACCATTAATGAAAGGCGTTAACCCTGTCAGGGACAGCAGTTACTATAGTGGACAGCTTATCATGTTAACAGGTTACAGGGCGCATGAAAGGGTCGAGTGAGACTTAATTGCTTCCAACTTCTTCAGTATGATGGGATGAAAATAATTACCATGTACTTCCTTAAACCATATAACAGAGGCCAGAGCTGCTTACTTTTCCTGTTGACATTTTCTATAATTCTAAAATTCACGTACTGAGTATATCCGTAATTTTGCTGCTAATTGGCTGGGGGTAAAAAACAATGATTCAACACACTACATGCAAATACTATACATGCAACTGACGCACTATTACTGCCTTGTAACTGTTTTTGTAATATCTGAAGCTCCCGGTGCACATCAGCCATAGAGTAACCCACTACTTGGAAACATGTTTGTGGATTTGTATGGTTGGGGCGTCGGGGTGCCCTCTGCATGGAGAGGGGAGTGAATGGGGGCAAAGTGGTAGCAGTGAGGACTGAGGCTGCAAAAGGGAAAAAAAAGGACAGGGTGAAAAAAAGAGAGCATAATACAATAATCAAGGATGCCCCATGAATTGAATCCATTTTCATCCCATCCATCCATCCATGCATTTTCAACACCACTTATCCTGAACAGGGTCGCAGGGAGGTGCTGGAGCTTACCCCAGCTGACTTTGGGCGGAAGGCAGACTGCACCCTGAACTGGTCGCCAGCCAGTCGCAGGGCACACATGGAGACAAACGACCATTCACACCCACATTCACATCGTCACCGAGTGGGAACCGATACCACGCTGCTCGCACACAAGTCCGTCGTATGGACCATTACACCATCAGCGACTTTCGTTTTTGTCCCCTTATATTTTATTGTTTATACTTCAGATCCCGTAAAATGCATTTGAGTAAACTGCAATCACACTGTGTGCCATCTCAGAAGACAGTTAGCCTGGAAATCCAGACTCAGCCATTGAGTCGGGTGGCTATTTGCATTAAGCGCATTTCTGAGGCGGGGCAAACCTGAGCAAACAGACAGCAAATTAGAAACAATCAGCCAAGAGTGGACGTGACGTGAAAAAGGGAAAAAAAAGTCTTCTTTTGAAATAAATGCTTCCAGTGCCGTCAGATGCTAGGATTTTAATGACTCTGTGTGTTTCTGGTTTTTTAACATTGACTTTAATTCTGAATGAAACAAACTGTTGTAGCTCCCATGCACCATTTTGAATGTTATGAGCCTGGACTTCTGCCACCCAAGAGTGATGTTGCTCACTAAGGATACATCGCAGCATGTAAAGCAATGTGATTGGATGGTTTGTTTGGAACCGAGGCCTAGCCGCAGTGAAGGGCTTGGTCTCCAACCCACGAAGAATGTGGGTGTGGCTTGCCAGCTTCCAAAGCAGGAGCATAGTGGCATTTGAATTAGAAAACATGGACAAGTTAATTGGCAAATGTACGTTAATAAAATAATGTTGATCTTTACTGAATGAGTACAACAAAGAGGTACCAGTAAATTGAGTGTGTGGGCCAGGATGTGGGATGACCATTTTTTGTTGATGGACATTTTAATGCCAAAAATATCTTAACATGTTGCAGGAAAGAGATTCTTCTGTTACTACGAAACAAAGATGGGAGCTTCGATGGGAGTCTTTTGCTTTTGCTTACGCTTTCAAATGCTAAATATAATCAACATAGTGATTATATCACTCAACGATTAACAGTTCAATTACACAAATCACAAATTGTCAACGTTTTACTGCTCAATGAATATTTCTATCTACAGTGAAACTCCTCTACAACGAAATCATGTTTGCAGCAAGAAATTTTTCACAACAGGGGGTTTTTCACTGGAGCAAATTTGATCTCAGTTGTAAACACACACACACACACACACACACACACACATACACACACACACACACACAAACGTTTGTGTACACGCACACACAAACGTATGTGTACTCTTTATTTTTATTCCAGTAGTGCATAAGTATGAGCACACACTTATTTGACACTTCATACAGTCAGTGTAGAAAGAAAAAAAAGGAAAGAAATTGCGAAATTTACGATCAGCATTTACTTTCACTTACATCAATTTCTTGTACAGTAAATATTCCCATCCCCGGAATTCTATGAAAAGGAATATCCTTCACCCGGAACAAAAGCCTGTGCATTAACGTTTTGACTACGATATTACATGTTACCGGAACTTACGTAAGCGGAAAT